TGTGTTTCTTTACGGATCATTGCAGATGTTATTTTGAAGGGGAGGCTTAAGCTCAGCTGATGCATTATTGTTAGTGGATAGTCTGTGTGTCAACTGTTAGGCAAATTGGAGATTAATGTAATAGAAGCAATATATATTGTTTTATTATAGGGATTCTAGAAACATTCCTGTAAATAATGTAACACTCTGGAGGGGAATTTGGGAAATAAAAACACTTGCTCAGACTGATAAATATTTACAAATGTTTTGTATGTGCGGGCTGCTTTATTTCTGCCTTGGATTTAAATCACAGATTGCAGTAACTGCGTGCAAACAAGTGAAAGCAGCTGCAAGCAATTTGCACCTGCTGTGTATCACCTCACAGTTGTTCTCAGCTCAGCTACAAACAAAGCAGGTGTAGAAATGATCGCTGAAAGCTCCAGATGTTGACCTGATGAGGCTCTTCTCATCTGACTCTATCAGGGAAGAATCTGGTTCAAATTGCCTTGGATGCTTTTAGTGCGCCACTGCAGACCTTTAAAGCCAGGGGAAGAATTTATCCCCCCAACTTATTCATTCAATAGTTAAAAGGATTGATTGCATTTAAAAATGTATCAGATTGTAAGATTAATTCACAATATCTGCTGATCACATTTTGCCTTGACAGAAAGTACATCCTTTTATTTGCACTTATATATAATTCCAGGTCTCGTTTGAGTTTATTTAAGCTTCATGTTTGATAATCTGCATGTGAACTTTTTCTGTTGTGAACGTCCCACAATAATTAGGTTTATATTGTGGATTTTACAACAAAAAATAGGATTTTAAAAACAACTTTAAACACTTATTTTAGTTACTGTGACATCTTTGCCCCATTTTTTTGTAAAGCTGCCTATGCAGAAGGTCACATTTTTATTTTTCTCTCCACGTGCGGCTTACCTCCCACCAGCTTGTAGTAGCTAGTTTTTCTTTACACTCAGCTGGAAACAGCTCTAGTATTTCAGACAAAGGCATTTTGCTCTGGGATAGAAATCAAAATAGGCAGACTTTTCCCCAACTACATGCATAAAGATCATACAGTCAAGAGGACTTCTTTCTTTGCATTTTTTGAGAATTAGAGGGACATATACAAACTCCACTTTTTACAGAATTAGTGTCCACAAATAGCTTTGTGAATTTGTCGTTCAGTGTTGTCAACCATGTTATGTGCCACTATTACAGCTTAATCTGCTTTTGCTTTTTCAGTCCATAATATTGTGTGCAATGGTTGAAAAAAGTATAGCTGCTTTTTTTGTCTCTTCTAAGCCTAAAATATTCACTGTAATAAATGTATAGGTTCTGGATCTCCTGGCTGAGCTGGACTGCCTGATGGCGATGAGCAGCGCCTCCCAGGAGTACAGCTACTCCTCACCCAAGCTCGCCAGACATAGAACAATAGCAATAACACAGGGAAGGTACCGACTCACTCTTATGGTGACTAATTTGCAGGATGGACCCAGATATTCTTCCTGTGCTTCGTATTGATTTTCCAGACACCCGCTCCTGGAGCTGTGTTCTCCAGTGTTTGTGGCCAACTCCTTCCAGAGCTCTGAATCAGAGGGCAGAATCAAGGTCATCACTGGTCCAAACTCATCTGGCAAGAGCATCTTCCTCAAACAGGTAGAAGCGTCTGATCCTGGCCAAAAACAAGCATTAAGATGTCAGCAAGGTGCAATTAAAACTGTGATTAATTATTTTATGTTGGTCTGCTCCTTTCTCAATTCTTTGCTTTTATAAGTGGCTGAGTACATGACTTAGAACGCTCTCTGATATATTAAAACTGGGAAATTTTAGGAACAATTTCATCTTATTTTTTGTTAAACTTACCAAGTTAGATATTTTATATACTGCATTACTAAATGAAACTTCTACATGTGAGACTGTTTTACTTGAAGTCCCAAAGTTAGGATCATTTCAGATAATCTACCAGCACTATCTGCTGATGTATGATTTTTATCTTGGTTTAGTTATTGAAAAAATACATAAATTAATGTAAATCTAAAACAAGGCACTTTTCATTTGCATGGTAAGATGTAGTCACCGGCCTACTTTTCGGTTAAATAGTGTCGTGAAAAAGTGTTTGACTCCCTTTGGATTTTGTTTTCTTGTCACCCCAGAAGTTATCAAATAAATTAAATACAAAAAATAGTTTTCAAATGATTTTGTTTATTAAGGAGGAGAAGCCAAGCCAACCTGGGCTTATGTGAATAAAATAATTGCCCTCCAACCTAATTAGCAGCGACAACTATTTTGTTTTCATTTTACACTCTAGTTTTCAGAGTCTGAGACTTTTCATGAAAAACCCGATGTGACATTTTCAGCATGCTTGTCTACATGTGGCCTTGCAGTCACTGCTTCCTGCCGTTTCATATTTCCAGGTGGGTCTGATTGTGTTCATGGCTCTGATTGGCTCAGACGTGCCGGCTAAAGAGGCAGAGGTAGGTCTGGTGGACGGGATCTTCACTCGCATGCAGAGCAGAGAGTCTGTGTCTGTGGGCCTCAGCACCTTTATGATAGATCTTAACCAGGTACATCATAGACACACTGTTAACCATGTGGATTTATACAATTTAAACTGGTGCATTTGCTCCCAATCTTCACTTGTTACATGTTTTTAATAAACCCAGGTTGTTCTTTCTACAGCTAGAGCAAAGTTCTTAGTTCTTTGTAAGTACAAAGAACAAAGAGAAACAGCGGTTTTCCTTTAATGTGTTGCTCTTTTTCTCCAGATGGCCCTGGCTCTTAACAGCAGCACTGGCAGCTCATTGGTGCTCATCGATGAGTTTGGAAAGGGCACCAACACAGTAAGAAGAAAATTGTTGCAGCACTCAGTGCAAGAAATCCAATGACTTCAACATTAACCAGAACCAGACTCAATGAGAACAGCAGCAAATGCTTCAGTCTACACAAATAAATATCTCTGTGATTGGTGCTTAAATGCATGCAATTTCCTCTCTGACAAAAACCCATTAACAAAATAATACCATTGTAGAAGAAATAAAGCATTGACTGTTTAATAATTTATGTTAGAGCATCAGGACAAATAATGTGTTTCCTATTATTGATTGATTTTTCTCCCTCTCTCTTCATCATCATATCTGCACCACTTTCTCTGAGCTTAAGCATTTTTTTGACTGAAGTTTATTTCAATTTAGCGCATCTAGGCCAATCCAACTGGCCAAATGCAGAGTTTACATGCAAAGAGTTCATGTATGCCCCTTGAAATATATAACAAAAACCTTTCACAGAATATTTTATGCTGAAGCCAACTTCAGTAGTCTTATTATTATGCATAAATATGATAATAAAACCTAATAAGGTAAATGTTTTGTTCTCAGACATCCAGAATGTTGTGGAAATGCAAAAATAACAGAATTTTGAGTCTGATCAGTGTAAATCAGTGCATTAGTGTACAGTTAAACTATTACTCACACCTCTGGTAGATTACATTTAAAGATGTTGATTAAGGATGTTGCATGTTTTTTCTGTTTTATATGTCACATCACAGTGCCAGATATGAGCAAATGTCTCCTGATAAATAAGAACCTGTGTCATCAGCTTGTTGTTGTCCCAGAACATTTCAATGTTTGTAAATCCAGCCCACAGGGGGCATCAGTGAAGGAACGGCATTTCTGTACAATGTTAAATCTTTTCTAAGTTTCAGATGAATTTACTTGATAGACATAAAGCTTTGCTGCTGCTACTGCTTTATTTCTTTTAGGAGATGCATGCTGGTATATGTTGACACGATCAGAGAATCAAATAGGAAAGCATGAAAGTAAATGTTTCCATTGTTAAATCTGTAACAGGAAACACTCTATCTGGAGGGATTGTCTGTTTTTAGTATTTAGTTACCGGAACGTAGTTTTTCCAACAGACTGTTACTTAAACTAAAAGAAAGGAAAGATATGTTGTCTCTCCAGGCTTATTGGCAGGAACGTCTTGTTAATTGATTTTCTGACAGCAGGTCAATAAACATGCTATTTGCAGTTTATGTGAAGTGCTTTGATTGAATTACAACAGAGCTGTTTGGCCAATAGCTTCACAGTAACATTAATGTTCTCCTTCAGGTTGATGGGCTGTCTCTACTCGCTGCATCTGTCTCTTTTTGGCTGAAAAAGCCTCCGGTGGATGTTCCTCACATCCTGTTGGCTACAAACTTCCACAGTCTGATGCAGTTAGGCCTGCTACCAACCACTGGCATGCTGTCTTTTCTGGTAGGGGGGAAAAACAACCAACAAAGCATAAACAACTGTGTCTACTGCAGCATTTCAATGTAATATTGTCATTTTAAGATGTTAAAAAAAACAAAAACATCTGACCGAATAGTTGAATAGTAAAATTTAAAACTAGTTTCTGCTTTTGTGCTTTAGACTTTAGAAACAGCCGTAGACAGAGATGAGTTGGTGTTTTTGTACCAGCTGAAGGAAGGGATTTGCCAATCCAGTTACGCTGCCAACATTGCTGCACTGGCAGGCCTGCCAACATGCCTTGTACACAGAGCCATGGAGGTCAGGAAATGCAAACACACACATTCCCTCCCTCACACAGAGGCATGCTCACAGACGGACTGTGTTTTCTGTCTAAGGCGTCTGAACATTACCGAACAGGAAAACCCATCAAACGCATCGACAAAGCATCATCAGACGAGCAGGCCAAGAGGTTTGTTGAACTTTATTTAATGTAAAATGAATTGAGAAACTTTATCTGAGACAACAACAAAAAAAAAAGTGCATGTGGTCAACAGATGCCAATCTGTGGTGCAGAAGTTTTTGAGTCTTGACCTGGAGGACAAAGATGTGGATCTGCAGAGCTTCATGAAAGATGAGCTTCTGCCCTCCGCTGGAGAGCTCCTGAACCGCAGGTAGACTCTGGAAGTGCTGCAAACACCTTTCTGTGTTTCTCTGCTCCGTGTTCAGTGAGAAAATGTTTGGGGTTTGCTTTTCTTGGGAAAACAGATTCACTTCCAAACAAGGTTTATGTTTACAGAGTTTTATGTTAATAACAATAAGATATTTATTGATGTAAAAAAAGCAGTTCAAGCACATTGTTTATTTTGTGAAGGAATTTCTGTATAAATGTACATGGTTTGTGTTACTTATATCTAGTGTTTACTTATTGATTACTCAGTACAAACATTTTGTAAATCTGGCTGTGTCTTTGCTTGAAGCTGCATAAATTGTGTTTTTTCAACAACAAAACTGAATAAAAGTATTTATGTTTTTTATCCAACCAAGGCTTTAGTGATGTGAGTGATGGCTAAACTGGCCAAAGTGATATGAAAAACTGTGTATATGGGTAATTCTTGTGCAGAGTTGCAGAAAGGGGTGTCACAGCAGGATTTGGTCATAACAAAGATTGTATTATTTAAAAAAAGCGCCACCGTTGTCTTCACATTACACTCCTCGGCCTTCGCACAGCCCAACGTCTTTACTTCCAGAGAATCAGCTGAGGAGACGAGGTAAAGTGCAGTCAGAGTAATCCATACATCATTCAAACTTTATGAATCTAACCTTTACACGTTTCTTTGTTCCTTTAGATGGACAGACACACACCTGCCTTCCCTCGGCCCGTGTAGCAGAGGTCCCCGCGGCTGCAGTTGGTTTCTGTCGTGTAGCAGGCGTCCCAGAAGCCCAGATCACAGCGGAAACACTCCAGGTACAATTCCTCTGGTTCCAGTCCCTCCAGCTCCATCAGCTGCTCCTCTTCCTCACCTGAGCACAATGAGTCGCAATGATGATCCTACATTAGATCTATTTGTTTTTCAATTACAATTGATGTTAAAGGCAAGAAAATATGTATTTTTTTCAGCTGAAAAATGTGAATGTGACTTCATACTGAGGGTTCTGACACAGTTGAACCCTCTGTTCAGGGTAGAAAAATTACTTTCCAGACTTTTTTTTAATCATGAAGTATTGTTTTTTAGGTTTTTTTTTGTTTTGTTGAATTATACTTAAATGATTGTCTATCCATCCATCCATGTGTTTAAATGATTGTTTGTGTCTATAATTTGTCAGTGACTCACTAACAGGATGTACTCACAAACATTTAAAAACTATTTCTCTCCACTTTTTGAACTATAGAAAATTTCAAATTCAGTTTGAAACTGGAGCTGGTTAAAATGCCAAACACTGAAAGTAGGGCTATTTTAGGTGTTTTTACAAACAAAGTAAAAGTACGAAACTTCACAAAATGTGCTTTAAAGAACCTGCATTTATGTCAGGATCTTATTGTGCATCTTAGGCTAGTTTAACAGAGCCAGTTTATATTAGTCCAGATGTTGGAAAAAAGCAGTAAAACCACCCTATACTACACTCCTAAAATACAAACTCGTTTCAGCTTTGTTGTCTCATGATTAGTGGAACTTACCCGATGACTAGTTAAACATTTCAAGGTGGGTATTTTGTACTGAAAGGCCCCGGACCTTAGAAAAACAGCAGAAAAAAAATCCCCCTAGGAAATCATTAGGATGGAAACTTATGTAGGAACCCTAAATGAAGGTTGCAGTAGAAAGGCATCAAGCGTGGTTGTCACCTTACTGAAGTGGTTCTGGATGTGTTGCAGGGTTGTAAGAGGACATAAAACCAAACTAGTCCATATTGCAACACATTCTGTTTAGCACTCAGAAATGTTTTGTTTATTCTGCAGCAGTCTGGAACGGGGGAACATGTTTCTTTAAGTGGATACCTTGCCTTAGTTGGTCAAGTTTTTTTTCTAGCAAGAAGGTAATGGAGTAAGCAGATGGCATGAACGGAAAGTTTGTCTGTAAAATAAAATAAGCAAGTCCTACCTCAGTTATTCCTCCTCAGGGTACTTCACTGAAAGTGTGTTATTTAATAAAACCACTTAATTGTCTGTTTACTACTTCTATTAATGTAGTTAGTGGACAGCACATTAGTGCACAGGTAGTTTTAGATTTAGTTAATCTCTTCCTGAGGGCCTTCAGATGTGTGAGCTGTCGTATTTCAGAGACTCGCAATCCTTATCTGCTCTGATCTCGTTAGTGTTAGCTCAGTTAACCCAACAGACTAAACACGAATGAAGATGCGTTCAGTCGGAGGGAAGGACACATTTTGTTTTTTTCATGGACTCGGTCTAATTTTGTTTTTGTTGCATTTTTATTTATCTGATTCTGCAAACATCAGAGCAACAGTAAATCAAATAAATTGTTTAGATGAACTGTTTTACAAATCTGTTTTTAGATTTTTTAAAATATTCTGTCTACAATTTTTATATGAAAGAGATTTTGCTAAATTATGCACAAATTAACCACAAACACTTTTGTAAATCAATTTCTGATTTTTTATTTTCATTAGAAATGATTTGAAGAAAAGCTTTAATGATGAGCCAGGGATTTATTTAATATTGAAAAGCAACATTTCCAAACTGAAGATGATCATTAGGAGATTTTGCACCCCAGATAATGAAGGTAATGAGTTTTGATTCTGGAGCAATTATTGCAGAAAACATGAAAATGAAAATTACTTATCTTGTGGATGTTTTGTTTTTTGTGATATTTTATTGATCATAATATTAATTTTCAATTTAATCATAAGCAAACACAAATGCAGGTTAGTCTGCAGACTTAACGTAAGTTGTTAATTGAATATTTTTTTCACACGTAGCCTGCAGAAAGTGTTTTTAACTTCGGCATCCAGTTGTTGGACTGTTATGTAATCCCTACAGTCATTTGTAAAAGCTTCCCACAGAACAGGCTGTTGGATTTAACACTTCTTAGACAACTAGGTCCTGCCTTGCTGCTGAAAACGCCCCCATGCACCAATGCCGAGGACCCTCTGAGGGCAGCAGAAACACCTCCAGACTTTGGGAAGAAGCCGGCTTACCTTGAGCAGGTGTGAGCATCATGATGGCAAAAACACAGAATAGTAGTCCTTTCATTCTGAGCAGGTATCTCCCTTTGACTGCACCATGAATACGCGCCACGTAACTGGAAGCTGGGCAGAAATTGGATTAGCTTAGCAATGCACCTTTAGAACCAATCATAGCCGCTGAAGGGCTGTGGATCATTGAAGTTTTGACAGCAGCTGCAGAGATAAAGAAATCAAATTCACATAAAAAGTTGTATAGAATGTTTCTTTTAATATAATAAAACGCTATTTGGTTTATTGGCAGTTTTAAACATGGATTAAATGTCAATGTTACACCTTTAAAACGCTGACATATTGTTTCAGTAAGAAAGTAAATGCCTTCTCGGTGACACACAGCTCTCCTCGTTAGCGTCGTTAACTTTCCATGACTTCTTAGCTGATTTCGCTGGTCTGGGATCTGAGGTGATCTCCACTTAAGTAATAAACAGAATTTATTCCAGCTGGCTGAGTCTAGGTAAAAAATGTTGATTGAAGCTTCTCTCTTATAGGGAGCAGAGAAATAGCTTGGATACTGAGTCAGCGCAGGGCTAAGCAGCTTACTGCTTCCTGTCCGTCTGCTCAGATATGTATCAATGCTCTCACATGAGCACAATACTCTCTGAGAGTAAAGGATTTGATTCAGTTGTACTGTCAATGCAGCATAAAACCTGCACTGCTGACTTATGTAACGCTGCTGCACAGACACAAACACAGATCTACGTTTGAGAAGATTTCTCCATTTGTGTAGCGGCAGTCATTTCTGCATGCATTTAGATATGCGCTGACATTATTCCCTCTGGTCGGTTTACTGTCACACTCAGTTTTATAAATAAATTATCAGCCACTGCAGCCTCACAGCGCAGCCTCGTTCTCACTAAATTCAAATGCATTAGATCATCTCACACTGAGCAGGACTCCCCCTTAAGTGTGAGAGGGAAGAAGAGTGGGCTGATTTATTTTTGTGGGAGATGTTGACGGCTCAAATCAAGAGCCATTTTTCACCCGCTGCAACTGAAATATACATCCTGCATCCTAAAACAGCACTGAGCTCCTGCCAAGACAGCTGCGGCTGAAATGGATGGGCGCAGATTTACTGTAAACTCCAGTCTCACTCATCATCTAGATGGCGGGATCTCAGCATGAGCCCAACCTGCAAGGAAATACTTAGCAGTCCTTAACTACCTATAAAAATGTTCAAACTGATCTCCTGCGTAATTAGAGACTAGAGAAAAAAAGCTGGTGATAATTAAAATAAAACCCAGCCCACTTTCCTCCCCGTCTGTGCTAATGGGCTGATTTTGGCTTAAAGGGATAGATCAGGATTTGTAAATTGAGATTCTGTCAAAATAAGTAGTTAATACCCCACCTGCAATAGATAGCTCTCTGTGTCCTCGTTTTGCATAAATCCTGATTAGTAGGTTCTGGATGCTGAAGCTAAAAGTGACCAAGACCAAAGTAAACGTTCACAAAAAAAATTTCAGATTTCTAAAGCCTCATACCTGTTGATTGTTTTTTTTTTCCATTGACAGGCACTACTGAGGTGTTTGTTAAATTATTATTTTTTGAAGTTAGTTGGGATTAGTTAGTAGTTAAATTGCGTTAAACATCCAATTCAGGTATGAAACCAAAAACAACACTTTTACATTTGCATAGAGAATTTGGGAAATTTTTCATGGGACAACCTCATATACAGTGGGGGAATATTTAATTCAGCGCTGATTTACTTACAAAGTGTGGAGAAGTCTGTAATTATCATGGTAGGTACAACTCAACTGTGAAAGAAAGAATGTTAAAGAAATCCAGAAAATCACATTGTATGATTTTAAACAAATGAATTAGCAGCATTTTATCACATTAAATAAGTATTTGATTCCCTTCCTACCAGGAAGAATGAACTTGTTAGTTTGTCTTT